GGTGAGTAGCGGAGCAGGTCCTTAATGCATCCTATTTTGTTTCTGTTTAATTTGAATTATTATCCTGCCCTAGAAAATGATGGGGCGGACATGGACTTGCCTTTGAAAACAGTATTTTTTGCACGCTTAATTTTAAACCTTTCATGCAGGTGAAAGACAACTAGCCAAATACCAGACCTTTAACTATTATGCATAAAAGGCTTTTTGGTCTGCAATGCTGAATCTTTCCTGGATTTCTGATTTTGCAGTTGCTTGTGTAATAAATTTATCCAATGTGAAACTGTCCTTTTTTCTTTTGATTTTCAGAGTTCAAAGAGGCATTTTCCCTCTTTGATAAAGATGGCGATGGCACTATCACAACAAAAGAGTTGGGAACTGTGATGCGATCTTTGGGCCAGAATCCTACTGAAGCAGAATTGCAGGACATGATTAATGAAGTTGATGCAGATGGTGAGTTCAAGTATTTGTGCTGCCTTGCATTTTTTTTTTTGAAAGCCGATTAGTCTGTTGTCTCCCACTCCATCACTGTATCACCATATGCAAAAAGTCATCCACCTTGAATACCAGAATGAATTTGCTGAGTTAATACTTGAACCATGTTAAAAGTGTAATAGGGTTTTTTGGTGAACTCTTGCTAAATAAATATGGCACTATTCTCGAAGTTGTTTTGTACTAAGTTTTTATCCAGGATTGGAGTGACTGGCTGTTGAATCTTTCCTGTTGCAGAACTCTATTCTGACATAGTTCAGTGAGGCAGTGAAAAATGACACAGTACTATAAAGACTGCAACATTCAGTCACCAGTGAGGATGAGCTTTAGAAATGAGTATCTCAAGTCTTTTAATTGCCTGTCCTCTACAGCTGAGTGCAGCATTCTGATGTTTTGGCCTTCCAGGACTCTAGTGACAATCCTTTCCCATAACAGACACATCTCTAGCTGTTTATACATCAGAAAATGTTTGAGTTGTTAAATTTATGATGTTCCAAATATGTAAGTGTGGGTTCCTGAAAGAAATATAGCAAAGTATGCCTAAATCTCTCAAGGACTTGGAGGGGATTCTAGCTGAAGTGGTAATGACTGTAATTGACTGCTTTTTCTGTGGATTAGAAGTGCAGATAAAATTGTGCCCAAAATCCATGATGAGGAACAAAATGGGATCAGGCTGAACTGTGGGGCTATCCCTTCTGATTAAGCAGCTTAACACACTTCTGCAGGCAGTTTGGTAACCACTTGGATTTAAGGAGTATGCAAGTCAACTCCTGTCTGACTTAAACTAAATAGTAACGTTAATCTGTCAAGTAAATAGAAATATCAAGTGCATTTCCTGTTGAAGTACATCTTTAAGACTGAACTTGTAGTTAGTTAAGTCTTAAGTATACACTTGTTTTGAATGGCTGAACTATTAATTACAATAGCCCATTCATTAATTGCTTGTGACTTTTTAACTAAGTTATTTTGAAGAACAAGCTTTTTTACAGTTGTGAAATTCTTGGGTTTCTTTTAAGATCAACAGTATATAATTCCTGTTGACTTAATTGCTCACCTCTAGCTATGAATGAATGATACTGATCTGTAAAATGTCTGGTCAGAGTTTGCCAGTCTTGTGTACAGCCCTAAGTTTGAATTGAGTGAGTTGTCAGTCATTGCACTGACACCTCACACTTCGAATACAGTGATGTTGCCCAAGGAGTGTTGTGGTGAGCTGTTCTAGAAACTGCTGAATTGATTCTTTTCCTGCCCTGGCTGTGACTGCCTTTTGCACTATTGCACTGAAGTTTCCAATATGCCATCTGTATACACTGAATTTTGCAATCTTTTCACCTGACTTGCAGCTTGGGAGGTTTTTGAATGTCCCACACATTCCTGTTACTGACCATTGAATGCTCCAAACAGCTGAGTATTAATGAATTTGCTTTGCAGTAAAATGGATTTCAATCTTTCTAACAAGTTTTTAAAAAAAAGAAATGGGGGGCTGGGGGAGGAGGTGGGCGTGAAGGGGGGGGAAGAAAGATGGTCAATTATGTTATCTCTAGACTATTTATCCAGAGACCCAGGTAATACTCTGGGGACCAGGGATCAAACCCCACCACAGTAGGTGGTGAATTAGAATTCAGTACAAATTCTGTAATTGAGAATGTAATGATGACCATGAAACCATTGTCAACAGTTGAAAAAGCCCACCTGGTTCACTAATGTCCTTTAGGGAAGGAAACTGCTATCCTTACTTAGTCTGGCCTACATGTGACTCCGGACCAACAGCAATGTGGTTGAGTCAGCTGCCCTCTGGGATAGACAATAAGTGCTGGCCTAGCCAGTGATGCCCTGAATTTTTAGTGTGATTAACATTTCTCAATGTTCTGATCAGGCACATCTGGGATTAGAAAACAATGTTTTGGTTCCATCTTTTTGTCAAGGCTAGGTCAAGTGTTGACAAACTCTTTGACTACATTCCCTGATTCCCATGAAGACTCTGCTTACCCATCTATCACATCCTCACTTGTCATTTATTTGTCTTAACTGTGGATTTGTTTACCTAATTGATTTGTCTCTTGGTGGCTGTCTGACTTAATGCCCTACCATCCTTCCTACCCCACTGTCACTGGCCTTGGTTCAGCAGATGTCTCCAGTGCTAACATCTCCCTAGTGTGATGCTGTGACTAACCAGATTTTCTGGCCTAACACCAGATCAACCTCTAATCAGTTCCTTTCTGTGGCACGGACACAGGAAATACAACACTTGCCCCTCAAACTCTTTATTGAACTTTACAATTTAATGTTGTGGTTTCTGCTCAGTGCAGCCTTTTGGGGGAATCTAAATATTTTTTCAGAATAAGGTATCTTCCATCTAAGAGTTAGGAGCATCGAGGGTCATACTGCTTTGGAGAGAAATCACAACACCGGGTTATAGCCCAATAGGCTTATTTGAAAACAAAAACCCAGTCCAACACCAGCACTTCCACATCATGCTCTGGAGAGAGCAGTGGAGGCTGGGTTATTGAACGTGTTCAGGACAGTGAGAATTGATTTCTGATCCACAGGGCAGCAATAAAATGGAGTTGAAGCCATTGTGGATCAGTCATAATTTTACTGAATGACAGGGCAACCTTGAGATTGTTCCCTATCCCTTGTTGCAGTAGGGAGGCCCCAACACTGATTAGAATTCCCAGTTTAAAGTGCTTCTGGCTTGCAGATTTAACATGATCTACAGCTTCTACCCTATCTAAGACTTCACCTCCTTCTCCTTCCCCTAAAAATCTATTTATATTTTTATTAGCAGTTATAAAATGTTGCTGTTTCTCCACAGGCTCTGCCTGACCTGAATTCTCAACATTTTCTACTTTTAGCCTATTTCTAACTTGGTTGAATGAGGGTGGTGTTAATGACATTGGATTCAGTTGAATCCCTGGCTAATTGACTGACTAATTGCAGACTTCTGTAACAAAGATTATTAAGAATTGTTCCTGGCTCCTAGCGGAAATGGAAGTGTAACTTCTGTAGTTGTCATGCTACCTTTTCTTGACTACTTTGTAATTGTTGCCTGCCCCTGCTTCTAATATTATCAGCACACCTCAGAAACTAAGTAGACCCTTCTGATCATTAAATGTCTTGAGTATTGGATTAAAATAGGAGAATAACCGGTACCCAAAATGCTGCTAATATTAATCCTAAGGCAAGAATTTAAACACGAAATGTAATGAATTTACCAGTTTGGTCCTGAGTCTGGTGCTTATGGGTTCTGGGTCCTGGTTCCTGCCTTGTTGGATTGCTGCTAATTGAATGGATGAAATGAGAAATAGTATGGTTTCTGCTGATACTACACAATAGATTTTCATGTCAGATTTTTCCCAGTCTGATGGAATCCAAAGCATGCCAAGATTAGATGACTTTGAGCTATTTATTTCTCATTTCATTTTACAAGGCCGTTTATAACCTCTTGAGTAATCAACATTATTTTGGGCAATTCCAAGAATCCTTAAGCTTGTGTGTATCTTAAAGATACTACCTAGTAGTGTCTATACTATTTGATATGCTTGCACCAAAATGTCTCCTTTGTTTACCCATTTAGGGTTCCAGATTGCCTGTTTCAAAATGCAAGTGAGTCAGCAACTGGCTTGATTGAAACAGCTGTAGCTTGGGCATGCATTTTGCCTAATCTGTGCACTTTTTTGTGAACTGACACCGGCCTCAATGGCCTCTTCTGGTATAACTGTTCTGATTTCTAATTGGAATTGCATTCCAGAGCTTCAATTCATCCTCCAGCCAGATGAGATTCAGTAAGGCAGTGGGCAAACAAATTCTTGTACCTTAGGAATCTGACTTGCCAATTTTGGCATCATTCCTATATCTTCCAATCCATGTGGAACACGTTTTGCATATATTGCTAGAGGTGCTACACTATTACTTCAAAGAAATCACTAATGTAATCAATAAAGGAAGCAAGGTACTGTTGACTTATGATTTGGGTAGAAACAGGACAGAAGTCTTGTGCTGCCAAAAACTAACAAAACATCAGATAGGTAGACAATTAGAGCAATATTGTTGACTCCCTGTTTCATGTTCTTTAAAGTAGAAAAGATTGTGCTGTAAGCTATTGAAATGAGAACAATGAAAGCTATTATAGAGCATAATTAACTATGTATACTGAAGTTTCTGATTAACTTGGGTGTCACTGAGCCTGCTTAGCTGGATAATTCAGTCTGATCTATTTATGGTTTAATAAGATTGAATCATTGCTCTAATTAGGCCAAACTGTATGAGGTTGCATCCTCATTTAGAAAATTGAGTTGTTAGCTTTTGAGCAGCTTTTAATTGTAGCTTTGACCAGTGTTTTTAACTCCCTACAATTACATCTCATTGTATAGTTGCACGTAAACATTGGGTAAGTTCTTAGAATCTTATTAAGTATACAAAACAAGATTGCCAAGACTGGCAATGTACTTTGCCACAGTTGATTAGCCTCTCTAGCTAATGAAGTTCAGCATTGTTTTGCTTGCTGTCTACAAGGCTGTACACAACTGATTTTAGAAGTTATGTACACCTTTTTTTAGCTTCATCAGTCAGCTTATCTTGCAGAATGATGGCAAACAGTAGCCCAGTGCCTGTACTTGCTGTTAATTTGTCTCACTTGATATTTGGTGTCATCAAAATAGAGATCCAGTTATCTTTTATTAGACAGATGTGCTTTTGGTCCTTTATCATTCATGGCTAATTTATTACTTTTAGATTAAGCCACCTTTTAAATGTTCCTTTTACTTGACCCCAATCTTATTTCAGGTAATGGAACTATTGACTTTCCTGAGTTCTTGACCATGATGGCCAGAAAAATGAAGGATACTGATAGTGAAGAGGAAATTCGTGAGGCATTCCGTGTATTTGACAAGGTGAGCACTTCATATGCTGATGATCTTCAATTATTACTTTGTACAGCCTCTGCCTCTTTAGTTGCAATGAGCTCACTACCAATTGTAGTATGTCACTTCCAATTGTAGATAGTTGGCACAAAAGCATTTGTGACTTCAAAGAAATAGGCTCTCTGACAAGACTGAATTCAATGCATATAGTGTGGCAGACCTTGCCTTGTGTATATTGAGTTGCAGCAAGAATTAATTTTTCTATTACTTTGCCTAATTGATTTCATTAGCTCTAATCCAGATTTGGTTTCTGGTTGTGCTTGTTGCAAATGGCAGCTGAAGCATTCTTCAGACAGGATCGAACTGCTTTTCTTTTAGAGAAGTGGCTTTAAATGTTAATCATCTTCCCTCTTCCCTTAATTCCTGGTTGTTTAATTCAGGAGCAGCCGAATGAAAATGTGGCAACTAATGCCTGTCCCTTGCATTTGAAGGAGACAAACGTGAGATGTTCTGCAAAGTGGCTCATGGAGCATAGATACCACAATGTTTCCTTTGCTGCTGTGGACCTCCGGGGTCTGTGCAGTAGCAGCTTCTGGAAGCATTGGTGTGCTGAGCAACAATCTGCAAGCCTCCTAGTGGTCTTGCAGCTTAAAGGGAATGTTGCTGAAATGATCAGTTTCTGCTGTATGTAAAATAGTCTCCTGCCTTGAGTATTGGACAAGATGCTTTTTGGCTTGAGCTGAAGATTAATATTTATGGCATAGAGGGAGGCTTTCTGTAAATTGAGGTGGAATTCCCTTGCCTTTTTTCTTGGGTTGCTGATCACTTATTTTAATTTTGCAACAGCGAAATTTATATTCCATTCCAGATTGTCAAGTCAATCTGGCAAGATTAAAGGTATGAACATGTAAAGGCATTCTGCCAGGACTTGAAGAAATTGTAATCTGATTGCTTCTTAATGAAGGAGCAGCTAATGCATAAATGCAAGCTGGGAGTTTGTTTATTTAGGTTGGACAACATGTGGCAACACCTTCCCTTTAAGAAGGGGTTAGTTGGCTGGTTTGTGATACATAGGAGAAGACTCCTTTGGAGTCACTATGTTTCTGCAAGATCTCTAATTTCATACTTTTCCTTCAGGACGGTAATGGTTACATCAGTGCAGCAGAGCTCCGTCACGTTATGACAAACCTAGGTGAGAAATTGACAGATGAAGAAGTAGATGAAATGATTAGAGAAGCAGATATTGATGGTGATGGCCAAGTCAACTATGAAGGTATACTTTTTTGTTCTTTTATCTAATATAAATGGGAACATCTCTAATATGATTCTTTCAAACGAGATCTAAATTACTAGTTAATCACAGGCTCTTGCTCACCACTGGTGTAAAACTGAATGTTACAGAACAGTGCTTCATGTGATTTGGGGAGGTGATGGCCTTGTGGTGTTATCACTAGACTGTTAATCCAGAGACTCAGATAACACTCTGGGGACCTGGGTTCGAATCTTGCCATGGCAGATGGTGGAATTTGAATTCAATAAAATACCTGGAATTAAGAATCTAATGACCATGAGTCCATTGTTAGGCAAAAAAACCCACCTGGTTCACGAATGTCCTTTAGGGAAGGAAACTGCCATCCTTGCCTGGTCTGGCCGATATGTGGCTCCAGACCCAGTGTGGTTGACTGTTAACTGCCCTTTGGGCAATTAGGGGTTGACAATAAATGCTGCCTAGCCAGCAAAGCACTCATTCTGTTGATGAATCAAGAAAGAAAAAATCTGATGAAGCTTTGTTTTGAAAATATACCTTAAAAGGTTGGATAAATTTCATAAATTAACCCCTCCCTCTGTTCCTTGACATGCTTGCCTTGATGTTGTAATCATGTGCAAGTAATAGCCTGAAGAATTTATCCCTCGTATAGATGTAGCTCCTTCAATCTGCTCTCGCTGCCCCTCAGTTTTGCATCCTTAAATGTGCTGAGTTACGCTTCAGTCTTTCAGTATTTTGACTATATTTTTCTAAATGTTGAAAGGTAATTCATATTGTCCAGGAAGCCTTGCCCTGTCCACAAGTACATATTGAACAATTGGGTGCAGACAGTCCCTCTGCCCTCCCCCCACTTAAGTTGGTGCTTCAGATGTATTTCTGGCCTGCTAAAATGGCTCAGGCCATTGGTTTACCAATGGGGTTAAATTTGAGAGATAGTAGGAACTGCAGATGCTGGAGAATCTGAGATAACAAGGAGTAGAGCTGGATGAACACAGCAGGCCAAGCAGCATCAGAGGAGCAGGAAGGCTGATGTTTTGGGCCTAGACCCTTCAGAAATGATTCCTTTCTGAAGAAGGGTCTAGGGTTAAATTTGAGGTCTTGTTTCTGCAAAGTACTTGTAGACAAAGGGAAATAGAGTTGTGAACTTAGAACAGAATCTTAACAGAACTGAACCTTTCTCCTTGCGAAGATCCAAATCTTCTAATCACTTTTTTTTTCCCCTTGGGCTAAACTTCATTGTTAGGATTTTATCACTGCATGTGTATTTTTTTTGGGCTCCCTGTCCTAGTTCGTTGGATACAGACCATGGTGCAATGGTATTGTAACTGTTCTGTAATCCAGAGGTCCAGGTTAGGTTCCAGGGGCTGGGTTCAATTTCTATATCTAAGTTGAGGCCATTATTAATTGTTAACCCAGTTTATTCATTAGTCTCCCTTTTTAAGGGAAGAAACTGCCATCCTTACCTGGTCTAGCCTGCATGTGATTGCAGGGGAGTTGATGGCGTAGCGGTATTATTGCTGGACTGTTTAGCTGGAGTCTCCAGCTAATGTTCTGGGGACCTGGGTCCAAATTCCACCATGGCAGAAGATGAATTTGAATTCAGTAAAAAATCTGGAATCCTAAGGATGCTGATGAATACAGTCCAAAGTGGCTCTTGGAGTCCTCAACTTTGACTCTGGACCCCATGAGCACTCGGGCATCTGGTTAAACATGAACAAAAACTTGCTGATTGCTGTGTACAGACTCCTTTTGGCTGTAAATCTGTATTCCTTCATGTTGAACATCTCCATTTAGTGGAGGGTGGCATGGGCAGGATTCCATCTAGGTGAAGATTTCAATGTCCAGCACAACGTCAGTCAGTCAGTTGAGTTCTAACTGTCAATGGACAATTAGACCTGATTCTCTCTCCATTTATCACCGTGCAATCAGAGAGATACATACTTGATCTCTTTTTCAATCTGCCTGCTGCAGGTGCATGTGTGGAAACAGTATGTCATGTTGATAACCTGCATGTTATGGTGCTGTGCCACATTTATTTGGGGTTACATCAAACAGGTCTAGCAACTCCAGATTGGGTATCCATGAGCCATCAGCAGAATCCTATTCCAAAATGAATTCCAGCCTCATGGCCTGGCCCAACTTTTATCATCAGTCTCAGTTCTATGAATGCAGGAGGGCATGCCAGGAATATCACCAAGCGTACCTAAAAATGAGATCTGAAACTGAATATACAAAACCAGACTACTTGCCAAACAGCATAAGCTGCAAGTGTTGGACAAAAAAGGTCACACTTGAACTCTGCAGTCGTGCCATATCCAGCCAAAAATTGTGGAGTACAATTGAAACCTTCATTGGAGATGGCAGCTTGTGGAATTTGCAACTTATCTGCAAGAAGTAATACTGAAGCACTTGCAAAAACAATTTGCTGGAAAACCTCAGGTCGAGCAGCATCTGAAGACCTGTTGAGCTGTTGCAGCAACTTCTGTTTTTGCTCCTGATTTATAGCATCCACAGATCTCTTCAGTTTTTACTGAAGCGCTTGCATCTATTTTTAGCCAGGTGTGCTGAATGGATAACCCATCTCGGCTTCCTTGAGAGTTTCCTGACATCAGTACCGGTGTTCGGTCAATTTAGCACATTACACTACATGTGATATCATGAATGTGTAGAGGCATTAGTTACAAAAGTTATAACCCCTCACAATATTCTGGCAACTGTCCTAAAGACTTGTGTTCCAGAACTTGCCATGCTGTGATGCTGGAGAAACTCAGCCAGTCTGGCATCATCTGTAGGGGGGGGGGGAGTCAACACTTTCAGGCCCAGTGATTTTTCAGATTCTGAAGGAGGGTGTGACTCTGATTTCTCTCCATAAATGGTGCCAGACAGGCTGTTTCTCTAGCCACTTGTTTTTGTTTGCCATGTTCTGAGCTAGCTATTTTAGTAGCTGTTTTAATACTTCACTATCAATATACTAGGAGTTACCATGTTACCAAAAGCTAAACTGGATTAGCCATTTGGCAGCTATAAAGAGCAAGTCAGCAGGTAACTCACCTGATTCAAGCCATCTCCATTATCTACAAGGAATATGTCAGCAATGTGATGGAATAGCCCCCTGTGCCACCTAGAGGAGTGCAGCTTCAACACTAGACACCATCTGGGGCAAAGCAGTCTGCTTGTTTGTCACCACATCCGCAAGCACCTAATCCTTCTACCACTAATGGTCAGCAGCAGTGTACTGTTGTGGTTGGATGGTTTGCCAAGGTGGTTTGTTTCGCAGACGTTTCATTACCTTGCCGAGTAACATCAGTGCAGTGTCCAATGCAACATCCAACCACAACACACAACCCGAGCTACAAATCTACTCGAAAACCTTAGAGCAGTGTGTACTAATTGTAAGATGCACTGCAGAAAATCGCCTAAGATCTTCAGGCAGCACCTTCCAAACCCCTGACCCCTTTGATCTAGAACGACAAGGACACAAATGATGGGAACCTAACTGGGTGGTATAGTGGCTCAGTGGTTACCACTGCTGCCTCACTCTGCCAGCAGCCTGGGTTTGATTCCACCCGTGGGTGCCTGTAGAGCTTGCATGTCCTTTCTGCTTTTGTAGTTTTCTGCTGGGCATTCTAGTCTCCTCCCACTGTCAGATGTGCAAGTTAAATGGATTGGCTGTGCCAAATGCAGGGTAACAGGATAGGAGAGGGCTGGGTCTGGGTGGGATGCTCTTCAAAGGGTTGGTGGACCAAATTGCCTCTTCCTGCACTGTAGGAATTCTGATTTGAGAAACATGCCTGCATGTTCCCCTCCACCTGATTAGGGATATCACTATTCCTTCAATGTCAGCCAAACTCCTTGAATTCCCTCCTTAATGGCATTGTTAATCTACCTACAGCAAATGAACTCCAGGCAGCTCACCACCACCTTGAACAATTAGGGACCGGAAAGTGCTGGCCAGTCCTACATTTGAAATAATCGAGGAAAAACTGGCTTCTACCCAACAATGTGGAAAATTGGCCACGTGTCCTGTATACAATATAAATACAACCTGGTTACTGCAGCACCAGTCTACTCTCCATAAGTGAAGTGGAAGATGTTGTCAACAGTGCTATTAAGCATCCCCTGCTTGCTGGCACCAGTTAAGGTTTTGCCAGTGCCACTCATTTATTCATCTCATCACAGCCTTGCTTCAAATATGGATTAGAGTGGAATTCCAGAAGTTAATGGATTCATGCAGCATGGAAAAGCCCCTCTTGGCCTGTTGAGTCTGTACCAACATAACCATTAAGAGTGTGCTAACCTCACTTTCCTGCGTTTGTCCTATCCTTGTGTTATCTTATTTGAAGTATTAATCCAAATATTTCCCTTCCTTTATTTTCCTTACTCTGCTTGGCACCTAAGGAGGTGCCATATGGGGTGACACTAACTGTTTCACTGTACTGTACTTGAGTACACGTGACAATAAAGTAAATTCTATTTTTTCCAAAGTTGAGGCTTCCAGCCTCTCCTTCCTTTCCAGACACTGCAATCTAGATTCCCACTGCCTGAGTTGAGCTTTTTTCCTAAATCCCCTCTGAATATCCTTCCCCTGTGGTGAGACCGGCATTAAAAATTTCAGACCCCTTGCAATTTCCAGCCTCGCCTCCCACAACAGTCCGGGATGCAATTCATGCAGACCAGGGAATTTGTCAGTTTAAGCCCAACAGAACCTCCAATACTTCCATATTTCCTATGTCAAATTGGAGTTCCTCATCCCTTTTCCTGAATTGCATGGCAATGTTCTTTCCAGAGTGAAGACTAAACAGAAATATTCATTAAATATACTGTGACTTCACATGGGTTTCCCCTTTGGTCCCTAATGGACCCTACTCCTCCTTCCCTGGTTAGTCTGTTCTCTTTAAGATATTTATAACATATATCTCTAGATTCATATCTATACATCATAGAATCCTACCTTCTGGAAGCAGGCCATACAGCCCATCGAGTGAATACTGACCCTCTGAAAAGCA